CTCTCTGGGGGTCTTGGCATTTATTCCCTGGAAAGGTCCCCAGAATTAAACTATCTGCAGCTGGTCCAGATCATGCTCTTCTAAGAGCCGACATGAGGCAACCAGCCAGCTACTGTGGACAGTCTGGAGCAGCCCCAATATCCCACACCTGGGATGAAAACAAAACCATGTTGTCATAATATAACTGAGTGTTTTAAAGACACCAAAACGTCCACTGCATGATTCTAGTTCGGTTTTGAGATGTGATCTAGTTTGTGAGAAAGGGGGACGTCATCACGTTAAAGCCCAGAAGAAAATGTGGTCAGTTGGATATTCTTTTTCTGGTTCTTTTTATCTCCAAATGTTTGGCACCTATTGCTTTAAAACCCTCTCTAAAGCGGTACAAAAAAAAAGTGGCATTTTGGAAAAGCAGCACCTTGCCAAAAGTACAGTTGGTATTCTCACCTCTTCTTCGAGCAGCACATTCGAATCCTGGCTCCATCCCTGTCTTCCTCACTCGCTTTGGGTGAGATGCCCATGCAGGTGGCAGTGTGCTCCCAGATCTGCTTGGCTCTGAGAGTGTCACCGCCTTCCTAGGCTATCAGAGAGGGCTCCTCACAATCTTGGGACCAGGCATTTGGACTGGGGAGTCTGCGGACTGGGGCTGACAGCAGCAGCCACTGCCTCCCCTTCTGCAGGTGGGAAGATGAGGGAAAGGCAGGGGCAGACCCCTATAGCCCAGAGCCTGGAGAACGTTTTACTTTGTGGATGATAAGACAGATGAGGGATTGTGGATCCAGGATTGGCAAACCCAGCTGCTTTCCTGGCCCTGTCACTCACTATGTGATTTGGAGGAAGCCATTGGACACTATCTGTCTTAGGCAGGATTCTATTGCTGTGAAGGGACACCATACCAAGGCAACTCATATTTAAAAAGAAAAAGCATTTAACTGAGGTCTCCATTACAGTTTCAGAGGCTCAGTCCATTGTCATCATGCTAAAAGCATGCGGCACTCATGATGCTGGAGCAGTTTATATTCTGCTCTGAAGGCAGCCAGGCAGGCAGGCACACAGAGAGAGGGAGGAGAGGGGGAGGGGGAGGCAGGGAGAAGGAGGAGGAGGAGGAGGAGGAGGAGGAGGGGAAGCAGAGGGGAAGGGGTAATGGGGAGAGAGAGAGAGAAACTGGGTCTGCTGTGGGCTTTTGAAACCTCAATTATCCCCCCCCCCTGTGAAACACCTCCTCCAACAAGGCCACACCTCCTAATCCTTCCAAGAATTCTACCAACTGGAGACCAAGCATGCAAATATATGAGCCTATGGGGACCCTTCTCATTCAAACCACCTCACCATCCCACCCACCTGCCAAGTGGGTAAGTCAGACAGACAGAACAGGCCTCAAGGTCACGTCCCTCTCTAAAGAGAGAACATTTCTTGTCTTGTTGCTGTGGCTTTAGCTCTCAGAATCACCGTTTGTGGCTGCCGTGTTGATGGAGTTAGTATTGCTCACATGGGGGAGGCAGAACTTTCTTAATAGCATTGCTGGGTTGAGAAGACCACACTGTACCATTTCTTGCAGGGCCAGCCTGGGCAGCGTCAGGGCCGCCACCAGGGAGATGCTGCAGCTGGCTCCTCTTCTCCCATGCTCTCACTGACAGCTCTCCGACTTCAGGCTCTTTCCCATCATACACCTCCATGCTTCCAGCTCAGGGGGAGGTCTCTATAAGGAAGGGACCTGGAACAAGTGTCCAGGCAGAAGACCTGTTTAGGGAGCATGGCCTTTCATGACGTCAGCTGACAGGAGAAGCTGGTCTCTGTGGGAGCAGAAACTCTTTTCATGATTGTGCAAACATGCACAGATATCTGCATGTGTGACTGTATGTGTGTAATTCATCGCTCCTGTCCGTGCATGTCTGCATACCTGTGCATTTGTATGCCTGTGTCTGCATGCATGCATCTGTGTACCTCTGTGTGTGCGTGCACACATGCCTATATATTCCACATGTGTATTTCTGCATGCACACCTGTGCATACCTGTGCCTGTGCACTCGTGCACCTGTGTCCATGCATGGCTCTATGTCCATGTCCATGCATGGCTCTATGTCC